CCAGGGTGGGGCAACCTAAGACAGGCACAGTCGGGGGCCAGTAGGAGAAAACTTTTCCTCTGCCAATTTTTTAAACAGGTTGTTTTGGTGTTTTTGAGTTGTATGAGTTCCTTATATATTTTGGATATTAACCCTTTATCAGATGTATCATTGCCAAATATGTTCTCCCATGCAGTGGGCTCCCTTTTTATTTTGTTGATGGTTTCTTTTGCTGTGCAGAAGCTTTTTATTTTGATGTAGTCCCATTTGTCTATTTTCTCCTTAGTTTCCTTTGCCTTAGAAGCTGTATCTGTAAACATATTGCTACAAGACACGTCTGAGATTTTTCTGCCTATGGTTTCTTCTATGACTTTACCTTTTATCTTTATCTTTTAGAGAGTTTAGTCCATTTATATTTTAGTGGTCAATTTGGATTTATTAACATCTTAAAATGTTTTCTTATTTGACCTCCTTTTCTGCTTTTTTTCTCCCCTACTTTTCTTGTCTTCTTTTGATCTGTACATTGATTAAATATTACTGCAATAATCCTGAATAACAGACAATGCCAAAGTCTCAGAGGATTATAAAAACAAAGTTTTTCTTCCATGGCTGGTTGCTCAGTGGTTAGAACATTGGCCCCTGGATCAAAGGGTCTCGAGTTCGAGTTCCAGTCAAAGGCATGTACCTGGGTTGCAGGTTTGATCCCTGCCGAGGTCAGGGCTCATGTGGGAGGCAACCAATCAATGTGTGTGTCTCTCACGTTGATATTTCTCTCTCTCTTTCTCTCTCCCTTCTCTCTCTCTTCCTCCCTCCCTCCACTCTCTCAAAAAATCAATGGAAAAATATCCTTGGATGAGGATTAACAACAATAAAATGTATTTCTCATTCTCAGATCTGAGGCTACAGCTCTGCCCGATCTTTTTGTTATTCCATATTGTGGGTATAGTCTAAGACTTCTCCTTGGGACCAGGCTGAAGCAGCGAGGGTTTCTGCGGCAGGTGGCAGAGGCAGAAGCACATGAGACAAAGCCACATTATTCGAGGACATTTAAAGCCCTGTGTTAACAGCTATTCACATTCCATTGGCTAAAACACGCAGTCAAGCTCAACAACAATGAAGTGGGGAACTAAACTCCTCTCATGGGAAGGTGGGAAGACAGAGTGAATATTTTCTGAGCAATAACACATCTACCAAGAGCAATTGAGATTTTTAGGGCTTTTATCTCTTTTCTTCATTTTATTTTCCCACCTCCCTCCCATTTGTTTCAGTTATATATTATATGCCTATTCTTTTAGCCATTATGCTACTTATTTTAACATGCGCACTTAATAAATCCTAAAGTTAATTTATTTCCTCCTCCTGACAAATATGAGGACCCCTGAACTCCTTAATTTAAATCACTCTCCTTCCAATTTACATGCAATTTTTGACTAGCCTTTTAGTACTAAGCTGTGTCCCCCATACACAAATAATTATTTGTCTGATTCTTTAAATACATCTTCAGGGGTAGGGCTGCTTGAGCAAATGGTCTGTAGACATCTCTATGCTTCAGGATCTTCATCTATAAAACAGAAATAAAAACACCAGCTCAGAGGACCAAGTGGAATAATGTAAAAATGCTTAGCTAATAATGACGTCTATGAAAGTGCTTAGTAAACAGTGTTACTGCTACTTGTCACCATGCGGTGACACCCTGGCTCCAGGCACCATTTCCAGGTATCCCCATGGAACTTACGTTTATGTGGCCAGGAAATGTAGGAGCTCTCTGAGCTGACTCACCTGCTCTTGTTGGTGATTTAATAAACGTTTATTGAACATGGATCAGGAGTTGGACCCAGAGAGCTGCTTGGTGGCAGGAACATCAGAGCTGAACTAAAGAGACAATCCAGGCCTCAAAGGAGAAGTCAAAGCAAAGATCTGCCCACAGCTGATCCTGAGCCAGAAAAGCTAAGAGAAGTACCTATCTACCCCGACTACCAGGGTGGGGCTGAAAGAACAGCCTGTCCTCCCAGACAGTGCCAGGCCCTGAAGCCCGTCCATCCAGCCCACACCGGAGTTGCTGAGGAGTAGCCAGGGGAGGGGAGAAGAGCACAGGGTCACCGAAGTGGAGAAGGTACTTCCAGGAGGAGAGAGGTCGGCTGTGTCGAGTGCTACTGGAAGTCCAGTATGACGCAGCCTGAGAACGGCCCACTGGATTAGGCATGCCGTCTCATTTCATGCTCATACATCCCTCTGGAGGTGGGCCCGAGGGGCAGGTGTCTTGCTAAAGATCACGCAAGTGGGAAGTGCTGGAGGCAGGATTTAAACACCTCCAGCTGAGGATTTAGATACATAGGCTCTGTCAGATGACTCTGGGTTGGTCTGTTCTAGAAGGACATCCAAGCCCCTGGGGCCTAGGCAGTCATAGCAGACATTTCCTGACTACTTACTACCTAACAAGCTCGGTCCTAAGGGCTTGGCCCTTGTGGATGCTTGTTCTTCACAAGAGTTCCAGAACATTCTATAAGGTGACAGACTGGGTGGGGTGATGACATTGCCTTTTGAGGAGAGGTCTCAGCATCCTGCTGCATAGCCATTTCACAGCTGAGGAAACTGAGGCTTAGGAAGTATAGTAACTTGCCCAACATCGCCCAGAAAGCCAATGGCAGAGTTGGGACTTGAACCCAGGCAGTCTGACTCCAGAACCTGCCTTCGTTACCCTGAGCCAGAAAACTCCTTTTGGTTTGTCCTTCCTGGCTTAAAATCTTCTTAAATGGCAAAAATTCAGCTCCTGCCTGCCCTGTTCTGTCCAGTTCTGAAGGTTTGGGCCCCACTCTGAACTGCCCAGGTGCTGGATGGAGCAGGGGAAGGTGACGGAGATGGGAAAGACATTGCACTTGTCTGAACAAATCTTTGAGGCTGTTTGCTGATTTGAGTGGGCAAGGGCCAGGGGTTTAGACTCCCCTCCCCCACCTACCTTGACCGAGCACACTGGTGTTGATCTGTTGGGTTCATTTGCCCTCCTGGTAAGGTTTCATCTGAAGCAAGCGTTGCTGAGGCAGGAAAAAAAAAAAAAGCTTTGAAAACCAATGGCCTCAAATTCATTGGTTTTGAAACTCGAATGTGGTCAGGATACTTGTTAACGTACTCATGAGATGGGAACTGGTTATCAGCTGTATAAGGGGCCCCAGGAGATTCTGGGGCTCTGGTTGGAGACTCAAGTGGGGAGCATAACCTTCTTTCTAATACACCTTGTAGCTGGGGAGCCCTGGGTTCTGCTGGGCTTCCCCTCCTGGCCCTGCCTGCCAGTACCCATCTCTGAACCCCTTTCTTAGCTGCACCCGCACCTGGCAGCCCTGGGTTGGAGGGTGCCCCTTAAAAGCATCCCCCACACACACCTCTGGCCAACCTGCGAATGCTCCTCATTAGAGATTGGAAAGCTGGCCTCACTGCCTTCCAGACCTACCAGGGGCCGAGAGAAGTTGAAACAACAGCCCTGCCCGCCTTCCAGCAATCCATCATTATCCCTTCCCTCCCCGGATCCCACCACCAGGTGATTCCATTGTTAATTAAATCCTGCAGTCTTTAATAACACAGCTCATAATTGCTGTTTTCCTCAGCCCTGGATTGGCTGTGCAGGCATTGGGGGGACCCAGGGATTTGTTCCTGGGCTTGGCTGTGAGAACGCTCTCCAGCTACATAGTCACCCACTCTCCCTCAGCCAGGAGTCCTCCATGGGCCTCGACACTGGGGCAAGAGGGACCAACGTCCGCTGCCCTGGGGGCCATTCCAGCACCCGCTCCGTTCTCCAGGGACGGGGGCCAGCTCTCCACTCCCCAGAGACAGGACTCCAAGGTGCAGCTCCTGGCAGCACAGCAGGGAGCTGCTGGCTCCTGCACACACCAGTGCACACGCTGACTGTCTGCAGGGGCTCGTGCGTTTTCCCATCCACACCTCCTCTGTGCTCCCCATGCCTGAGCCCCGCCGTGCAAGTGAGGAAGCTGAAGACCAGAGGGGAGGGAGGATTTTCTTAGGCCACCGGCCGGCAGGCAGCAGAGCTGGGAGGCCCCCAGTCCACACCCACCGTTCCTCAGCCATACTCTCTGCCCTTTGACCTGCACAAAATGCTCCATTGTCTTACTCTCAGCCTCCCCCTCCTCCCTCACTCCCTCACACTCCCACCCCTCCCTTAGGGCCCTGCAGATGCCACTAGAAAAGATGGGGGTGCGGGTCGGGGATGGATCAAGGGGAAGAGGAAAAATGGAAAGGGAACAGGAGGACCACAGCTAGAGGTCACAACGGTCAAAGGTTGGGGGCCCTGTGGCCACAGTGGAGCTAGGACAGCTGAGTTTGGCTCTGCCCTAATGACCCACTGCAGTGGACACTCTGCTGCCCCACCCAAAGTCTCCTTAAAATCTGAAGGATTATCCCCAGCTGCTGGTGATGGGAAGGTGATGGGATACCCTCTTCTGAAGAGAGCCATGCCATCCCACCCGAGGCCTCGAGGCTGGCCCTTTCCTGGGGCAGCCTGTGTTTGTGAGTGATGGGTGCGGGGCTGCAAAGACCCAGCTCCAGTCTGAGGTCTGGTTGTAGCTCTCCCTCTCCCTCTGCTGCTGTCCCTCTCTCCCAGGTGCTGATTCTGAGAGCACCCCCATTAAACTTCCTGCACTGAGTCTACCTGCAGGGGCCTAACCTTCTCTTTGGGATTCCTGGTCCTTCTCCCTTCACCCTGCCCACCTCCCACCCACGCCTGCCCCAGGACCTCCAGACCCTCCACCCACGGCCAATTACCCAAGCCCGGCTCATGCTCCTGGCTCCTCTGCTCCTTCAGGACAGAGGCCATGGACAGTGTGCTCCAGCTATGAGTAACCTCAGGGACCTCCAGCCAAAAGGAACCCCTCCTTGGAGGCAAGGTCACTGTGTCATCCCCATTTTGAGGAAGAAGGAACTGGAAGAGCTGTCAGCTGCCCTACTTTGCAGAGCTGGGAAATGCCAGAGATGGAGCTCGACCTATCTGCTTCTCACAGCTCATAGCCCTCCTCCACAAGCTCCTTTGCCACTGCTGCTTTGTGAGAACATCAGTTCCTTAACCACCAGTCCTCACTGGTGCCTCAGAGGGAGAGTCATCTATACAGCAGCCTGGTTTCATTTATTCACTCATTCATTCATTCATTTGACAAATATGTTTTGAGTACCTTACCCTGTACCAGGCATTGTGCTTGGTGGTGGGGACACCTCAGTGAAGAAGTAAACAAGTCCTTGTCCACATGGAATTATATTCTATGGAGGAACGCACGCAATAAACAAGATAAATAAGTACAATAAATATATCATAGACTGGACCAGTGATGGCGAACCTTTTGAGCTCGGCGTGTCAGCATTTTGAAAAACCCTAACTTAACTCTGGTGCCGTGTCACCTATAGAAACTTTTTGACCTTTGCAACCATAGTAAAACAAAGACTTATATTTTTGATATTTATTTTATATAGTTAAATGCCATTTAACAAAGAAAAATCAACCAAAAAAATGAGTTTGCGTGTCACCTCCGACACGCGTGTCATAGGTTCACCATCGCTGGGCTAGACGGGGGTACAAGTTAAGGCGAGAAAGGAACGTGAAGTGTCTGGGGTGGGGCAGAGGGTGAAAGTTAAGACAAGGTGACTAGGGAAAATCCCACCGGGAAGGTGACTTTCGAGTACCGGGTGCGGGGCCCAGCCGTGAACGAAGCTCACCTGGTAGGAGCCTTCTCCTGGGCTCTAGGTGGGCAAGGAAGCTCCTGCAGGCAGAGGGCACTGCGGCGGCTCCAGCCCGCCTCCCTGTCTGCGGTCCCTGCAGGGCAGCCAGCAGGGCACAGCCGCACCCAGGCCTCCCAGGGCTCCAGCCAATGCACCCAACTCCAAATTCTGCCCAGGCCCAGCTCTCTATTCTGGGTGGCCATCCTGACACTCAGGACTTAATGAAGACATGCCCGTGGGCTCCTTGCAAAGACTGCTGTATCGTATGTCGGCAGGGCACCCTGAGGTCCCAGATGAAATGAATCACTAACCCACAAATGTCATATGTTTCCCAAGCAGAGTAAGTGGGCCCCGGCTACTCAGCTTCAAGCAGACACCCCAACCTCTGTGGGAATGTGCCCGGCACTGTCATCCTGGGCGGGGTGCCTAGGAACCCCGAAGCGAGTCAGCACATTCTGCAAATCTGATTAGCTAGTTTCCATGTCTTCATCTCCGTCAGGCGCCCAGTGATCAGGCCCCGTGCCAGCCCAGAGCCCTGCGGCCTGCCACTGGAAACCTTTAGCGAAGCTGCACTGGCCACCCTCTCTGATTGCTAACAAGCCTTCTTTCTGAGGGATCAGGGACAAACACCACGCTCTCCCCACTGTGTGACCAGAACAGCTCTTTGGCTCTTCTGTGTGGATGAAAGGATGGGAAAGGTGCCCACTGAGGTTAAAATGGAGGAGTGAAAGCATGACAAATACAAGACACACTGTCCCGGGGCCTTTGGAACCATCCTGGCGCTGGGAGGTATCTGAACCCACAAGACAGATGCAGTGGGAGTTACAAAGAAGCATTCAGCTCAAGTCTGGAGGGCAACTGGGATGAGGTTAAGCAGTAATGGGCAGTCGTTATAAATTCATGGACAGAGGGGACTACCGTGGATTGGCAGCGGGATCCTGATGGAGAGTAGGCATTATCACCCCTTTTGATTCATCAGGAAGCTGAAGCCCAGAGGAAGCCAGCACCTTTCCCACGTGCTGCAGTGGCACTCAGACCTGCACCTCTCCTCCTGACTGACTCGCAGGAGGCCTCCCACCCCCCAGATGCATACATTCCCGCAGGTGGTGGGCCTTGATCTCGGACACTGGCCCTGCAGTGAACCGTCCTTGTTTGGGGTCAGGATGACCCCTGGAGCCTGGAGGAAGTGTGTTGTTCAGAGCTACTGTCGAAAGTGGAGGCCCACCTTTGGCCAACAGGGTCACAGACCACTCTTCTCTCCATTTGTGTTTCTCTTCTCCATTCCCTCAGGCAACCCAGTGCCTGGATCTCCCCCTTCCCCCAGCTTCACACCAAGGCCACCGAG